GTGTTGCTCCCATTGTGAAAGGTGATAGGTTCAATTTGAACCAATGCCCAAAGAACAACTTTGAAAGTGAATCAATGAAAAACATTCCATATGCTTCTGTACTAGACCTGATATTGCATTTATTATGGGGATGCTAGGTCGATATCAGAGTAATCCAGGTATAGACCGCTAGAGAGATGCAAAGAAAGTGATGAGGTATCTACTAGGAACCAAAGATTACATGCTTATGTATAGACATACAGACAATCTGGATGTGATTGGTTACTCAGATTTAGACTTATTCGGTTGTGTTGATTCTTGTAAATCAACATCAAAATATATTTTTATGATGGCTGGTAGAGCTATTTCTTGGAGAAGCACCAAGCAGACCTTACTGCTACTTCTACCATGGAAGCTGAGTTTATCTCCTATTTTAAGGCTACTTCTTATGGTATATGACTTAAGAGTTTCATTTCTAGGCCATTAAGAATTTTTTACGATAATTCAGCTGTTGTCTTTATGGCTAAATACAAAAAAAGTGGAAGTCGAAGTAAACATATCGATATTAAGTATTTAGCTATAAGAGAACATGTAAAAGAAAAGAAAGTGGTCATTGAGCATATTACCACTAAATTGATGATTATAGATCATTTGACTAAAGGCATGCTACCTCTGAAATTCAAGGATCATGTAGAGAAAATGGGACTTGGTTCCACTTTGTAATGATATTGAAACTCTTATATATTGTGATATTTTTTTTTTCATTCATGTGTACATTATTTTGAGAAAATATATTGTTATTGGACCAAGAATAAACATAAGGTTTATTCATTAAGTAATATTACCACATTAAGATTAAGAAACTAAATACATCGTGATACATGAATGATAATACTTGCTCTTAGAGGACTTATCACTATAATTCATATATTTATTTCTTAAGAAAGTTGTTCGAGAAAGATTAATTCAAATTATTAAGTTAAACATATGGACCAAATGAAAAAATATAACTGTTATTATTAAATATCATATTTAATAATAATGTAACTGTTCTAATTAAGATTCATAATTCATTATAATCAATTTCTTCATTTATTATGTTTTAAATATTTTGATTTTTTATTCTAAATGTAACCATTATTATTAAATATTTAATATCGTTAAGTTCTTCATTATGGTACAAACGTTACAAATTTGAATTAATTCTTCAACGTTATGAGTTGGTAATAATAAATGTTCTTGATGGGAGAACATCTATATAAATGAGGATTTTGGTCCCTCGACTCAACATCTTTTTGAAGTCAAAAGGATTTCCTACACCATCTAAAGCGAGAGTTCTAAGCTGAGAAGTACCAAAGTTCAAGAAGAAATCGTTGTAGAAATTCTTGACAACAATGACCAGAGGTATGCTATTTTGTTTTCGCATTAGTTTTATTGTGTTTCTGTCATAATGATTTAGAAACACAAGTTGTATCAAAGATTTCTTACATATCAATCAACCATTTAACTATTGTCAAATAATCTCACATAAATAATTTAGCATATCACCTTAATTCTATATTTATCATCTTTTATATATCACTTGATCCTAACACAAAACTCTATAGCATCAGCAAAATCTTCCTACTTTTGTACTGTTTCATTCGCCAACTCTTATTATTCCATCCCCTTCGTTCTAACTTTCATTGAAAATACTATCACAATTGACAAAACAATCATATAGCAAAAACACCATTAATAAAATAAGATTCTAAAATAAAAAACTGTAATGAAAGCAGACATTCATGATTCTTCCTCACTATGATAGCAACAAGAACATGATTTAATAGGACCATGAGTCAGAAATAATAACTAATAGCAGCAAGAACATGATTCAACAAGACTGATAGCAGAACCACTCAAAACTATGAGTCTGAAACACAACTGATTGAAGAAGAAACACCACCTGTAGCAACAAGTATTTCACAAAAAGATGATTCAACAAGAACAATAAAATCACTTCTGTTGCAGCAAGGTTAACACTCACAAAAATATGATTCAACAATAACAAGAAAAACACTTCTATTGCAACAAGGTAAACACTCAAAAAAATATGATTCAAAACAATGATTTAAACTATGATTCAATAAATCTATATTTAACACAATAATTTAAAATAAAAAAGATAAATACTCATCAAAGTCTTTATCGATCGACAACTCAATGACAAGTTCTTTGCCTTAACGTCTCATCCTTAACTATTGCTTTAATCATAGACCCTAATCCTCTCAAACCCTAATTAATAATAGCAATCATAGCCTATCAACTGACCACCAAAAAAGAGTTGATATAGAAGACGAAAGCCAAGTCATCCTCCCCTCCACTCGATAGTAAGGCAACAATTATTGATCGTTGTGGACAACAACAGTCCATTGGGGGCGATATGGGTCGATCCCGACGATCGCCAAGAGTAATGATCCTCGGGTGGTCAAATAGACCTGCACCCCATTCTGTCGGTCTCTGTGAAAGATAGACCATAGAGAGCCACTCGAGTCGACCTTTTCAATTGTCGGGGGTCGTGGTCCTCGGGCGATTGATTAGATCGGCTTTCCCTCCTTTTTGTTGGCCTCTGTGGATAACAGGCCATATGGACCAACCATCCATATAGATAAATGACAAAAGAAGAGCATCTTGACAATCATGAATGGTCCTCCTCTATTGCCCAAGTATAAAAGTCGACCTGAGATTTTCTTAGGGTGGCTTTCTCACTCTAAACTCTCTCATTCCTAGTACTTCACAAAAAACTAAGATCATCGAAGGAATTGAGAATCCTCCCCGCGCCCCCCCCC